TTACTTGAGTCCCATTTAACACCTTGGCATACGTTCTTGGCTTCAATTGTTCTGATTCAACATTAATTGAATGATTGGGATTTCAGTTATTCAAATTCAAAACAACACCATTACCTACTACATTTTCACAAAACCCATCCTGAAAAGAACCCGGTTGCTGGACATTGAGATTTTGTCGTGTGATTGTTTCTAGAGTTCCATTGGAACAGTCGGCTAAGGAAGGAGAAATAATTGGTGGGTGATTTGGGGTGTGGGTGCTGCCAGAATGATGGGTGCCGCTTGAAGCGGGTTGTGGTGGTTCAGTGGATACTGTGGCTAATATGGGTGGTGTGAGGCCAGGTGGGATGGGGAAATGTGGAGAAGGGTTGAAGCCGTTGCCTGTGGAGGCGGTGACCAACGAGTTGGGATACCGTTTGGTGGTAAAATTAGACGGATTTGAAGAGAACAGGGCTGTTTTCGGCGGAGTTATGGGTTGGTGACAGTCAGATGCAGTCGAGAGCGGAGAGAGGCTACCGGTGGCGGGAGGGTCCGGTGGCTTAGGTGGTGGGTGGAGCTGGTCATCTGTTGAAGAGGGAGGCGGCGCACCCATGGTTGAGAGAAGCTAGGGTTGAGTTTCAGTTTTCCTCGATACAAATCCTTTCCTGAGATACTCTTTAACTCAATATCCTAAATAATGCTATAAACTTAAATTGGCAAATGTCTTTCCAGGTAAATCTTTCATCTCTTGTAATTAATGCACTTGGTGATCCAAATCCCTACTAATACCTAATATACACTTCCATGAATCAATCTTTGAAAAAGACGTACATAATTCGAATTTTGTCTTCTTGATTAGGTAAATTCAGACTATAAAATATAGAATAGACTGAAAAAACCAGAAGGTATAAGCTATCAATATCACCCACTTGTAAAATTCTAACACTAAAGCCTCTTGTACAGACCGGACTCATAGAAGCAGAACGGAAATTCAAATTTTCAATCTATAGTAACTTTTTTTTTGTTGACCACTGAGCTAGAGTTACTTTTTTTGTTGACCACTTTGGTCAACATAAAACCTAGAAAAAGACAATAGACCACACCCAAACCCGTCCCTCTCATTTCCTCCCATTTTGGTACCGTTCACTGCTCCCACCGTTTCCTAAGCAAGGACAACCTGATATTTCACATTTCCCCGACTGTGAAAATGGTGATACCCAACTCCGGCGAAGATGGTAATAATTTTTCTGTCGAACTCCCCTTTCTTTTCATTTTTCTTTTCGAACATTTTACTGGCATTGAAAACGTTAGAGTGAAGGCTTCATTTCTCTTTTCGAATAGTTTATTGGCATTGAAAGCATTTTTCTTTTCATTTATTGGCATTGAAAACTTCATTTCTCTTTTCGAACATTTATTGGCATTGAAAACATTTGAGGTTATAAACATCTCTCTAAACATTTTCTTTAGAAGACATCTCTCTGTTTTCGAATAGTTTTAAATGTCTCAATAAATATAGGTAATAAATGTGATGAAACTTGTAAAATTCGAATGCTTACTGTAGAATGTCTGAATTAGTCGAAAGCTTCCTTAGAACAATTGAAAACTGATACAACACAAAGATAATAACAAGAAGAAATTTTCATTGGTATATTTGGTATTCTATAATTTGTGATTTGTCTGAACTGATATTACATCGATTGTGTTGCAACAGAAGTTTCTACGGAAGACATACGGGATGAATTTTTGGTGGAGAGAGATGTTGATGAGAATGTAGCGAACAACATGATATCAGCGGAGAAGGAAGCGTTGGAAGAAGATGGTCCAATGGTGCCTGAGGTGCCGAAGGTGGGTATGATGTTCAAGAATGATAATGAATTGTGGGATTTCTAAAAAAGATATGCATATCATATAGGTTTTCCGATTAGAAGAAGGAATTCAAAAAAGGGAGACGACGGGAAAATGAAATATGTGACTTTGACATGTGGCCGTGAAGGTCGAAAGCCTACCAGTACCAGTGGTTCTTCAAAGCGCCAGCCAACAATTCAGATAGATTATAAAACTAGGATCACTGCATCCACAGATATTTATGGAATATGGAGAATAAACATAGTCCACCTTGAACATAATCATAAAACAAGTCCTTCGAAGTCGAGGTTATATAGTTGCAATCGAGAATTAAACTCAAATGTGAAACGGAAGCTTGAAGTGAACGATATGGCTGAAATTCCTTTGCACAAAAGTTTTAACTCTGTAGTGGTTGAAGCGGGTGAAAATGAAAATATGAGCTATGTGGAAAAGGATTGTCGGAATTATATTGAACAAGTGAGACAACTAAGACTTGGTGAAGAAGATGCCGCAATGATACAGTCGTACTTTTCGAAGATGCAAGCCCAGTGCTTAGGATTCTACTTTAGTATGGACTTAGACGATGATTCCAGGTCGAAAAATGTATTTTGGGCAGATAATAGGTCTAGGCAAGCATACTTAGTTTGGCGACGTTGTCATATTCGATACCACTGATCTAACCAATAAGTATGATATGCTTTTCGTCCCTTTTGTTAGCGTTAACCATCATAGACAATCAACATTGCTCGGTTGTGGTTTGTTGTCAAACGAGGACACAAATATTTTTGCGTGGATATTTAGGACATGGCTTCAGTGTATGCATTCAAAAGCTCCCCATGGAATCAGTACTGATCAAGATAGGGCTATGCAAAATGCAGTTCAGATTATTTTTCCTAATAAGAAGTATAGATGGTGTTTGTGGCATATTATGAAGAAGTTGCCCGAAAAGTTTGGATACCATATTGATAAGGCTTCCATTTTTTCGACCGTACATCCATTGGTGTATGATTTGTAGTTTGTGAAAGAATTTGAAGATGGATGGAGGGCGATAATTAACACATATGATTTGCACAGTAATGAGTGGCTGTCAGGCCTGTTTGATAATAGAGTTCGTTGGGTTCCTTGCTATCTGAAACTACATTTTGGGCAGGGACGTCAACAACTCAGTGAAGTGAGAGTATAAATGCATTCTTTGATGGGTACGTTCATTCAAAGACCTCGTTGAAGCAATTTGTTGAATAGTATGAACGGGTACTGAGGAATAAGGTTGAAAAGGAGTTTCAGGATAACTTCAAGTCATACTCCCAAATGGTACCGTGTACAACTATGTTCGAAATGGAGAAGCAATATCAGAAATGTAACACCATTGCAAAGTTCAGGAAAGTTCAAGTTGAGCTTACAGGGAAGGTTTATTGCGACATCCTATCTAGTACGGAGGGACCTTCATGCACCACCTATGAAATACGGGAGGTTGTCATGCTTGATGATGATAGACGAAAGATAAAAAGGTGTTTCGTCTCATTTTAGAAAGATAATCATGAAATTGTTTGTAGTTGCCATTTAT